TATCGATCATCAATCGATTATTTTGACATTAAATGTGCGCATATATTAGAGCAAATTGTGTGTTTTAAATGGTAATTTAATCGATATATTTGCTGAAAATTGTTGTTAACAAATGTGACACTAATTTTGCAGGGTTGGTATAAGGAAATTTGTTACAATTTTATATTCTTTTATTAGTTTACTTGGTAAATAAACTGTAATTGAAATATTTGATATCTAAATCAACAATAAAGTACATTTATTTGTACTATTTCTCTAAGCTTTGGGTACATTTAGTACAAAATAGTTGAACATATCAAATATGTTAGTGAATACCATCAGCAGAATATTAATATCTCTTTTCCTTAGACTTCTCCAGTATTTATTATTCAATAAATACCTGATAAACCTTTTGAATTTTCTGCAGAGTATTTCCCAGTTAACCACATTTGGTGGTATTCCCCGTGGATCAATCAGAGTCCATCCTATTACACGGAGTACCTCCCAATACAGAGACCTATTTACCAACCAAACATCTCCTCTATCTCTTTTGAATTTTCCCGCTTTGTGTACTGCGTGTGTGCGTGAATCCTTTGTGGAATCGCAGTACCCAATCCCTATTGGAATCCTTGGTGTGTTCTTGCCCAGCAATTCCGATCTATTTTTTCCCTATTTTCCTGAGCGTACAAACAATATATGACGGGACTTCAACGGTAGCATTGTGCATCCCAGTTCTCTTTTTTTTTGCTGTATTCGAACTCGCAGTGAGTAGTCAGTCTGTCTGGCTCGAATGACAAACAACGGATGATATATTGCAAACGGTGGCCACGCCCACCCGCCTTTTGTTTGCCTTGGCCGCAAATCGGTGGCCAATATCTTTTTTGGTACGGTATGGAATCGGATGGGTATATATCGCACTCGCTCGCGGCCTGTTTGCCAAGTAAACCTTTTCAAGTTAATTAAAAACGAAAGCCAAGCACAGAGGCAGCTTTTTTCAATTACTCAAGCAGCTCTTCATGGATCTTAATTCTCTTTTTTTTACGACCGGTTGTAAAAATATTATTATTATTGATAAATCTTTGAGGGAAATGGGAATATCCCATTTTATAGCTTATTAATATTGGCCACAGTCTGGCAGTGGTTGTTGCAACTGCAAAATAGATTGGATTCCTGTTGCGTTTTCCTCTCACCATTTCACCTTTTTTCCTGGCTAAAAACGTGGACAAAGAATCGCATTAGAAATCAATTCATTTCACTTCTATTGTGCAATTTCCGATACATCTTGGTGGAGTCTGCGGAAAAGTCACAAAATAAAAAACTGGCGAGTAAATAGACGACAAATTGAGGTTGTAAATCTTCTCTGATGGAGCATTTTGTGACAAATCAATTTGATAAAGGTTGGTCAGGGCACAAAAACCCTCAGGTCGTATTAATCTGGCTTACAGGATAGAGGATAAGGGAGAAGCAGGATAAATTGGCTAGAGAACTTTAATTTCAAAATTGGCTACAAAAATAAAGGAGTTTAGCTTGGAAATATTTTTAAGGCATTTCGTTTCCTGTTCCCTTTTCTATTTCCTCTTTTTTTTTGGCCAAACTCTCACGCCGGCAACAATGTTATATAATGCCAGCGTTTAGTGTGAAATTTTTCCACTCTCCTCCCCCTCGACACTTTCCCACAGCATTTCCACTTCCACTTCCCTTTAGCACGTTGTGGCACTTCTTTTGAAATTGCGCACATAAACTAATTCCGCATGCATGAAATGACTTTCATAGAAAAATGGCAAAATTGCAGTGTGTGTGTGAGTGTCCTGTCTCCATTTAATGCACGGGAAAAAATTACCAATGTTATGGAGAGAGGTTTAATCCGATTTCAAAGCATGTCTTCATTTTAATTGTGATTTTATAGCCATATTATTGATTCGGAAAGAAGAGTTGGGAATAGTAATTTCAGGTTTTTAATTCCTTTAAACCATTTAAGAACTGAAAACCTAAGGTTTAATGTCTTTAATGCCTTTATTATTTTTATAAACCTATTCATCAATTACTAATAAATATAAAATAAAATCTAAATAAACTTGAAATGCTAAAATCGCATATTCACTATCAATATTCTCTAATTAGCATTCGAATTAAAGAGCAAACTGCATCATTTATACTTCCATTATAGTCTTACTTAATTCTACACTCATTTTAAGGATTTATTTTAGAAATCCCTATCCAATATTAACATTTCTCTCAGTGCACCTGACCAGAGTTGCCACCAAACCGCGACGCGACGCGTTGACATCCGTTAGGGTTAAGTTGCAAGTCGCTTTTGCCAGCTTTTTGCCGCTTTTGCCGCCCCGCTAATTGTGTCACAATGATGAGCATAATTTTCAGAGCTCTCGCACGCTTTGGCCAGGACAAAGGCGTACGGAAAGGACTTCGCGGCAGACAGGAAATTAAGCATACGCCATGTGTGCAATGCCGCTAATTTTCCGTTAGTAATTTCATTTCATGCCAACGCTGCCGCCGACACTTTGAGGTGGCGCCAAGCCTTTTCCTTTCCCGGGATTTTCCCTTCTCTTCCCTTTTTTTCTGTGGAGAAAAAGCCACTTTTGTGTCGGTTCTCGCTTTTAATTACCATCAACGTCAGTTTCGCCTGGCATTTCGAGGTGCCTTCAGATTTTGTACCCCAAAAAATGCTTTCCTTTCCACCAGCCACTTTAAATGTCTTCGAAAACAGAGGCAACCCTTTGGCATCAGGCAAATATATTCTATGCTGTCATATGTTTTCCGCCCCTCCCAAAACTCTTGACATGATGAATGATGCGCCGCCAATTGTTTTCTGTTTTTCCAACTTTTGTTTTTGTTTGCGAATTACAAACAAATGTCTAAGAGTGGCAGAAGAATATATAAGTTGATGACCCCTTCCCACGAGAGCAGCGAAAGCAAACATTTTGACATGACAGGCAGGAGCGGCATATGAAGCGATAAATACTTGGAAAAATAATAAAGGATGTTTCATAATTATAGGAAATTAAATATATATAATCCTAAGAAGGAAATATATAGAAGAAAAGGTTTTCTATAAGGAAATGAGTGCTTCAATTAGTCAGTTTTCGTTTCATTTAAAATCATACAGAAATGCTGGCTTCTACTATAATCAAGCATATTATATAGTTAAGGAAATTAATATAATTTTCTTGGAGTGCATTACAAGTTCCCTATAAACGCTAAGCGATTTCCCATTTTCCTTTTGTTTGTGAAGCGGGAACTTCTCCTCCCCTCTCCCCAAAAAGAAGGGAAATGGAGTAAAGTAATTTGTACGTAATTTGTTAAGTAATACACACATTTTGTGTGTGTGCGAGTGTTTGTCTGGCTGTCTCGCCAGGATGTGGCCTGCGGAAAAAGTGGAAAATAGGAAAAAGGAGGAAAAGTTCGAACGAGGAAGGATTTGTGTTCGCCTTAATTACAAAACATCAAAGTGGTCGATGTCGATGTGTCTGCCGCTGATGTCTTGAGCCCTTTTGTGAGGGATTTTTGGACCATTGATGTGGCATGCAGCCGTCGAAAACTGGATTCAAGTGTTGAATATGCCACATTCCCGACATGTCCTGCTCACTAATAGAGTTCGCACGAAACCCTTATCACATTTTTTTGGGGAGTGAGTAATGAATTCAACAAAAGAAGGAAAGAAAACACATACAATAACAAGAACTTTCACTGTCAGCAATTAATAATTTGCCACACAAAATGAAAATGAAAATGAAAATTGTTTGTACGTGTTTTGTTGGCCATTCTAGGGTTTTCTTAGCCCTCAGCTTAATTGGAAATTGGTGTTTTCCCCCTCTTAAAATCGATTGTTTGAGTCTCGGGTTTGAGTAATTAAACACACCGTCCAATCGTTGGGTGACAAGTGGAAATCCTTGAGCATTCAGTATATATCCTTGCTAATCCTGACGCACAAATCAATTTACTGCTGTGCTCCTTCACCATATTTTCTGCACTTTTTGGTAGCAATAAATAAAACGTGTAATTGGAAGTGATGAACACACTGGTGAAACCAAACCAAAATCCCAGGCACGCTCTCACGCCCAGAAACTAGAACAAGTCCCAGAAGTAAAACCGAAATCTCTAATCAAATGTCAATTCCTTATTCAATATAAATCGAGGAAGCTGGGAAAAGTGCGAAAAGGAGGAATAAATACACATGAAAGTGTCGATGCACAGAGAGAAAGGATTTAGTAAATCTTTTGTTATGAAGAATATGTGAGAGTAAAACCTTTACAACTTTGATATTTACATGTTTAACAATAGATCTTATATAGGAAGATGAGTCTTATTATTGGCCTTACCGTAAATATTGTTATTTCTTTGCTTCTTTATATTTTTCCTACTACAAACTACAAACAAAACGAGGAGTTCCTTAATAAATTTCTCATTTCTTTTCTCTCTGTGCACTTATCCCTGAAATAGAGTAAATCTTTTAACGACTTTTATGTGTTCACTCGCTTACTCTCCACGTTTTTGCTTTGGCTTTTATTGTCCTTCGTTTTTCCTGACCATATCCAATGCGCTTGTGTATAAGCCATTAAATGTGCTTTCCTTTCGCTGGCTTGGCTTTTCCTGTTTTCGGCCAATTATTACGCGCGATTTATGCTTTTATTTGTCAACAAAGTTCACAGGACACAGCCCCGCAAAGGAGCAAAAGAGCAAAGGGGAAAAAAGCCATCAAAAACATACTTAATTGATTGTAAATCATAAAATCAGAACAATATTTTGATAAACTCTGTACCCTAGTGGATAAAAACACAGCTTAAGCATTACTAATTTTAAGATTTATATATGTTTTTTGTACTTTCTGCACTTTCCTAACCGCTTTTCACCTTTTGCACTTCTTACACACTTGCCAAAACTTTTCCTAGTTTTAAATAGTTTCCAACTACAAAACATAGTTTACCGCTTCTTATGAATGAAACACTTTTTAATTTAACCTTTTTCTTCCGCCAACCTTTCTTTCCCTTTTGTTTTCTTTTTAGCACAAGAGTCTGCGATAAAAAATGATAATAACAAACCACAAGGTAAAATGCTTTTTATTATTATTCCATTGCACCACCCCACCCCACAACCCCTAGCATATCCTTGGTATTACTTTGAATATCCTTTAGTTGCACAGCAGAAGCATCAGCATGTCTCGACTTTCTTGCTATTTTTATACCAGTTTTTTTTTTACCCTTCCGCCACCGGAAATACGCCAGACTTTTAATAGTTTTCTCGGACAGCAATTTAAATTGCCATATTTTATGCGCCAAAGCTTTCAGAATGTCATTAAAATAGATGTCAAGCAGTCGGAGCTAGTTGTTGTTGTGCTCACAGGATTCGTATCCTTTTGTCAATATATATATATATATATATATATATATATGCAAGGGGTTGAGAAAAAGGCAAAAGGACGAATGCAGGCGACAGCCAAAAGTAATGACAAAACGCAGCGGGCCATCATTGTCATATTGTTAAATTGAGACATTTGCACAAGCCCATTGGCTTAGCGTCGGATTCAAGGATTCAGGGATTCGAGGATTCCAAGGATGCAGTCTGCGTACCCAAAAAGGTTGTCATCGTTGCCATAATTGAATTTTATCCCAACTATAAATCTTGAATGCTAAACAAGGCTAACAACTTTGAACGAAGGAGTCGACTGACTATTAAAATATGAAGTTGTCTCAAAAAGGACATTTCAAATGCAGATGGAATAGTAATTTATAGACAATTTAGGACTATTTGATTGGCTTTTTGCTTGGGTGTGAAGTGGGTTTTCGATTTGTAAGAGGTAAATAATTGTGCAAGAAACAAATCAGGACACTAATAAATACGATCTTTGTAGAAACTATATATTTTAGTTACAAAATTAGCAACAATTTTTTGAAAACCCAAATGAAATGCAATAGAAAAGGTATTGGTATATCGTAATAATTCATTTTTAAAAGCTTCTGCTTCCGAAAATGGACTTTTAAATATTGGGAATCCAAAGAACGTCTGCTTTACATTTTTCCATTAATTAAATTCTCTCTTTCCCAGCATTTGAATGCCTTAAAAAGTGCAAGCTTAAAATGCAAAGTTTCTAAATCAAAAATCAACATTTAAGCACGAATAATTGCATACATTTTCACCATATAAAGAACTCCTCATCAAATTTCGAGAATCTCAAAGAAACCCCTTTTGAAATATCAAAAGAAACTTCCACAATCTATCAATTTAAATCCCCTTTAATCAGAGGACTTTGCCAACCAACTTTTCTGTTTGGGGGGGCTTTGAAATTGAAAACAAACATTTAAGGATGCAACATTGCATATCCTTTCAGGAAGGAACTCCAAACCGAAAAAAAAACTCCCCTATTTTCAGTAGATTTTTGTCTTTCTGGTCTTCGGCATCTTTCTCGTCCTCGTTCTCGTCCGCATTGTAATTGAATTCTACAACAACACAATAAATTTTAGGCACTAAACGGAAAAAGCAATGGGAGGCTGGGAATATTAGGGGGTTTTGGGATGCCAAAGAGATGCCAAAATACACCCAAAAAGGACGAGAGTTCGATGCTGGAGTGCAGTAAAAAGAGAAAATTTAATTTCTTGCTTGAATAATAAATCACAAACATAAACAGCGAGTGTTGTGGGTGGGTGGCACAAAAAACGAGGGGTTATAAGATGTCGCCTGATAAAACCTCATGGTTTTTCCGGCAGCGAGAATTCAGCAGAAACTCTGGCAAACAATTTCGAGTCTCCTACTCTTTCTCTTTCTCGTTTTTGGCAGTTTGGAATTCGCCGCTGTCGATGGGCATTGCACTTATCAAAATGCCATATCCTGGCCAAGGAAAAACCCTATAAATTGGGAAACGCAAGTGTCGAGTTTCGAGTGTCGCTTTATTAAATTTTTACGCAAATGCTCGACACGCACATATGAATAACAATATATAGGTTTATACATGTGTGTTTACATATATAATAACAAAAAAAAACAAAAAATGAAAATGGAATATTACTCCATTCCCCACCCAATCCTTATGCAAATGAAAAGTAAAAACTTTTATGTGCACATTTTTTATGGGGCTTTCCCATTTGTGTTTCTCTCTTTCTCTTTCTCTTTTTGGTTATGCTTTTCTTTTTTATTTTGTGGCACACACTACAAAAGGGGCGTGGCAGCTGACCCACTCAGCATTATGCAACAAGCCGCTGTGATTTCGCTGCTTCTTTTTTTATGACATTTATGCAGCCTCCAGACAGGCCCCAGAGACATAAATATTGTTGCAAAGCCAAAAACAAATAGCAAACAGAAATTACAATAATATGCAATAATGCAAAAGGACAACAGAGGACAGATGAGGGGATCCCAGACTTAAGGCACACAAATACTGCACAGGGAGAAAATATTGAGAGTTAATTGGAGGTGCTGCAGAAATCAGTATCAATATTATTATATGAAAATTTTTCGGCATATTACAAATTTAAAAATCGAATAACTAGACCAAAAAAGCATCAATTTTAAATCGGAAAGCATTTCTATGTTACTTTTTATCAGGTTAATAAATTTGCATACTTAGTTTAACATTTTAAAATATTCAATTTTTTGTCAAATTTTAACAATTTTAATGATATAACCCCTTATCATTTTTTTAAATTTTGCAATAAATTTCGAAAAATTATTTTTTGACTGGATATAGCTAGATCGATTCAGTTTTTGATGCTGATCAAGAATATACATAGTTTATAGGGTCGGAAATGATTTCTTCATTGTGTTATAAGCCACCGAATAATACTAATACTCTACAAAAATGTATAAAAACAGCACATTTTTTTGAAAAATCATAGTTTTTCAGACACCATAATTAAGCCGAAATTTAATCAATTTTAATTGGGAAAGCTTTTTTGTGCTAGTTTTTATAGCACTAACAAATCTGCATACTGCGTTTATTGATGATGTTAAAGGTTTCTGACTAAAATTATAAAAGCCCACGAAAAGGTATAAAAATAGACAATTTTCTCGAAAAATTCTAGTTTAACAAACCAATAACTAAGCCAAAAAATCAATAATTTCAATTAAGAAAGCTGTTCTATGCTAGTTTTTACTCAATTAACAAATCTGCATACTCAATTTACAAATTGAAAAAATTCAAATTTTCGTCAAAATTTGAAAATTGTAATGATGTAACCCCTTATCATTTTTTTTAAATTTTGCCAAAAATTTCGAAAATTTGTTTTTCAACCAGACATGTCTAGATCGATTCTCCTGTTGATTCTGATTAAGAAAATATATGATTTATAGGGTCGGAAATGACTCCTTCAGCGATTTTTGAGTTCCTGACTGAAATCATAATTTCCTGCAGGGCTATAAAAATACAAAAATGAAAGTTTGAAGTATTTTACTTCCTAAGTGAAATAAACTAGCTGATTCCTTGTAGTTTTTACTGTGGAATAAAATTCACTATAACAATTTATTTTGTATATATTTTATATACTCATAGTTTTTTCGAGTGCAATAGTAAGGCTGAGGAAAAGGACACTCACTCTCCCCTGGCACACACACTTGGTGTATGTCCCATGTGTGCGTGGCTTTAAGTCAGCGGCAGGACGTGACATCCTTGCATAGCATTTGCATAACTATATCAACAAGAGAGAGAGAGGGCTGAAGGATGCCAGACATCAGCGACAGCCTCCCATCCTTTTCCTCTTCCTTCTCCAGGATCCCCGGTGCTATTTTTATGCTTTCTTTTTTTATTTATTTCATTTTTTGGAGAGTGCTCTCTCTCACTCCTCCTGGTGCGCTTGCATAATTTCCATTGTTTTCATTTTACAAGCGAATTTTCCCCGCAACTTATTTTCTTTCATTTTAGTTTTCGCCGCATTTTTTTCGGCGACAGCTTCCTGTACTGATTTCTGTTTGCATTTCAAGATTTTCGCGTCACAGATTTTTCACATTTATATACTGTATCTCTGGTTTTTTTTTGTAGCCAAAATATATGTAAGGGAAATGCAATAAAACTTTATACGAAGGCGTTGAAGGGGAAAATATAATATCAGCGCGGAGGCCAGCCCGCCGCGAGGGTGATAAAGAAAAGAGTTGAGTGGAAAAAATGGAATACTAAATAAGTTTATGGGAGGGATTTCGGGGTGATGGCGAAAAAGCAGCGTCAGGTAGATAAAACCAAAGTGTGTCACGGTGAGATAAGGTGGGGAAAAGGTGTTCCATCCAAGAGAAAAGATTTCATAACATTGTAGATTTTTGCAAAATTAAAGAAACTTAAGGAACTTAAATTAAAGACTCACGGAACGAAGTCAATGTAGGACTGTTCTTATGAAAATGCATCAACAAAACTAACCTTCTTTCAATTTCTTTAATATTTTAAATGGAAAACCTACTCAAACTAAGTAATAAACTAAATAACCCCTTGATAACTTTGCCACAATGTCTGCCTTAAGGCTCTTGTTAGCCATTTTCATGCTCCAATTCACCGCAAAACATCTCAATCGATATTTATCTATATGTATTGGCAACATCATAATAGCAATAATAATAATAATCATAATCGCTTTGATGACCCGAAAAAAGGCCATGCCAAAAAATAGCTACACTTTCGAATTGCCACTCTCTCATACATATATATATCCAATTATCGTTGCCAAAAAATATATAGGAAAACTATATTTTCAGCTGACATTTGCTGGCTACATTCCCACTTCAATTTTTACAACTTCGCCTCTCATTTTCCAATTTGACAGGCACTTTTCTATCGATGAATGTTTGTTGCTCAGTCAATTTTTGCAAATCAAATGCCTTTGCCATCGTTTGTTGCCCTTTTCCTTTCGTCGCTGATTTGCCAGGACGAGAAGGAAGACGCCAAATGCCATTCCACTCGAGCGGCTAGACAGGAGATGAGGGATGTGGATGGATGTGGAGGATGCTGGCTCTGGGAAAAGCGAGCATTTTGAGATATATATTCGTCTTTATTGAAGTTTTTCTTTTATTTGGCTCATTTATGGCACATATTGCGCATTTAATCGCTGTCAGGATACGGAACATGAGGAAGCTAAGGATGTGTGTAGAAATGCACCGAGGAAAAATGGGAGTTAGATGGAGAAATAGAAGAGAAGAGTCTATATATTATTAAAATCAAGTAAAGACCACTTGATAAATCCCTAAACTTTCTTTTCACTTTATTTTAAAAAGCTTTCTTTAATTTAAATCATATTTTGCAGACTGATTCTATTATTCCTTCGGGTTCTATAAATCTTTCTCTGTAGATCTTATTTATTCTATTTTATAGAGTTTCAACATTGATATTATTGATAGTATTTTAATAAAATTATTTCTCTCACTACCTCCCTCCCTTTGGTGGATCATCTTTCAACGGCTGCTCGTCAGCTTTTCTTTCGGAAAATCCACCCCCCGCCTCTATTGCTCTCTGCGGGCCGCTCAAAGTTTTCTTTTCTACAATCAGCTGCTGTTGAATTTTTAATTTTTATGTTAGTAATTTCTCAAGCATTCTGCAGGAATAAAAAAGGAGAGGAAACTCTTGCCGGAAGAACATCTTGCCAGTGAATATTAAATTTTTTATGATACGGCGCGGGAGGCGCGAGAAAAAAAACCCAAAATAAAAAAAGGCAAAAGAAATAAGTGAAAAATACAGTTGAAGTTGGCACTGTGAATGGGAAACATGTTGCGAATTCCAAAGTGGAAAATATTCATGCCATATATATGCCATTCATTTTAGTGTTAGTGTTATGTGTGTCTTTGGGTTTTCTACCAAAAAAAAAAAGAAATGGTAAAGAAAAGTTTCAATCTTAAAGCTTAAGTTCCGGTTAGAGAAATCCAATATCTTCCTAGTGGGCCAGGCAATTTACGAGGAAAGCTGCAACTTTGTTATATAAATATTTCAAATGAAAAGCAGATGCTGCTGCACCTGGGTTTTCCTAGCTGAAAGCCTGCCCTTCCACACCGCACCACACACAACACCCTCACCCCCCGGAAAAGTCAGTCACGGTTAGCGGGGCGAACTGCACCGCTGGGGAAAAGCAAATATAATTTAAAATGTAATTAGTGCTCAAATAGAAAACCAAACAAACAGAGAACACTCTCGGTGGGCGTGAACTCTCTATCTGAACAGTGGGGCAGAGTTTTTGTTTATATTTTATAGTAAATATAATTTATATTAAAAACATGAGAAATTTTACGATAAATCAAAGTTTCACATTCTCATAACTAAGCCAAAAATTCATTAATTTCAATTCGGAAAGCTGTCCTATGTTATTTTTAAGTAGGTTAATAAATCTGCATACCCAATTTAACATATACAAAAATTCAATTGTCAGTTTTTGAAAATTTTAACGATGTAACCCCTTATCTTTTTTTTTTAAAATGACAAAAAATTTGTTTTCTTTCTGTATGCCTAGAAAGATTCACCAGTTGATGCTGATCAAGAATATATATAGTTTATAGGGTTGAAAGTGAATTCTTCATTGTGTTTTAAGCTTCTGATTAATACTTATACCCTGCAAAAAGGTATAAAAACAGCAATTTTCTTAAATAATCACTGTTTTTCAAACATCATAATTAAGCCAAAATTGCGATAATTTTAATGGGGAAAGCATTTTTGTAACAGTTTTCATTGCACTAACAAATCAGCATACTGCGTTTGTTGATGCTATTGTCAGTTTTTGACTAAATTTATAAAACCCTGAAAAAAGGTATAAAAACAGACAATTTTCTCGAAAAATCATAGTTAAAAAACTCATAACTAAGCCAAAAAATTATTAATTTCAAATTGGAAAGCTGTTCTATGTTAGTTTTTACTTGATTAACAAATTTTTGTCCAATTTCGACAATTTTAATGATGTAACCCCTTATCATTTTTGCAAATTTCGAAAAAATTTATTTTTCTCCCAGACATACCTAGATCGATTCTCCTGATGATTCTGATCAAGAATATATATAAAATATAGGGTCGGAAATGACTCCTTCACTGCTTTTCAAGCTTCTGACTGAAACTATAATACCTTAAAAAGGTGACACTGTGGCGGGATTTTCCTCCCGCAAAGTCAATGAATGAATGAAGAAGTATAGTCAGCAGGTTACTAGGTGACCCAGTCCCAGCCGGTAGCCGTCCCTGGCCAGGTAGCACACAGCTTGCAGCTTTTGCACCTGTTTCGACTGCAAAACTTTGTCCTAGACCAACTTTCGCCAGATGCCACTGCTGCTGCGGTGGCTTTTGAAACATTTTATTATAACGAGACGAGGTAAACATTGGAAAATTCGCCCGGTGGCAGCTGAATTTCCATACCTAAATTTTCCCAACCATTTCCATTTCAAGGTTGGCCAAACTCGATTTATTTCGTCCCAAAGACGCTCTCTCGAAATCCTTCATTATATTGATGATGTGCATAATGAGTCCTGAGTCTGAATTTCTTTCCTCATTTCTCTACATTTTTTATGTGCTCGTTATGCCGGGAAATGGGAAATTGTGAAGACCATTCAGTAATTATTTTCATACGCTGACAAAAAATCAAGCATTCATTATAAAAATATTCAATGAGGGAGGATTTTTGTAGTTGAAATCATATAAAGTTTTGCAAACTAAAATTTGATAATAATTCCATAAATAAGAATATATATACGAAACCTTTATAATTTAATTTAAATGAAAGCCTCAACTATCTACAAAATATATAAAAGTCTAAGTTAAACATTCCCCTTTTTGTTGCCTAGTTTAACTTAATTCTGTTTTAAATACTCTAAGCTTGGATTGCCTGTGTACCTGCCTAAGGAGGTCCTGGTTAGTCCTTTCGGACGGCTTTTATCCACTTGTCTGGGCTCACTCCTCGTAGGTTTGTTGTTGTCGGGGCCACTAATTTGGTTTTTAAGTGGGCCTGTGCTCCGGACTGCTCATTAAGCGGCTTTTCCTTTGCCGCCTTTTGCATTTACCTTTGGTCCTTTGCCCTCTGCCCATTTTTTTCTCACCTGCTTTACTTTGTTTTGAGCCTGGAAGTTACTCAAGTATTCCCTTTTCCCTTTTTGTTTTTTTTGTATGGTTTTTTTCTGTAGACTGGCGCAGCACGGATAGCACCGACCACCACGATCGCGTCCAGAGACAACTGTCTGTGTCCTCTGATAGCAAACTGCTGGACGACGACATCCGGGAGGAGATGAAGTACCATTCGCATGTGGTCATGCGTCCCAAGAAGCCGCCCAGACCCAAGTCCGAGGTCTTTCTTAACAAGCAGGATCCGCATCCGCGACGCAAACGATTCAGTGCATTTGGTGTAAGTAGAAATTGCAATTCATTTCTATAATCTGTGGTTTTACAATGGCTTTATTTGTAGAGGGTTAAGTATCTTTGCTTGGCTTCTTACTTTGGCACTTGAATTTACTAGTTTTGTAGGATTTTTAAATGCTCAGAATACAGATAGCTACTAAATTTGTCATCCTTTAATAATAAACTGCCTTGAACTATAATAAAATATATAAAGATATTTATTCAGTGGAGTTTGGTAGCTAACAAATCTTATTCTCATTGAATAAATTCTTTTCCAAGGATATACATATCTTGTATCTAGCAGTGAAACCACCCCCAATACTTTTCGTTGCATACTTATAGATACTTTGACTTCTCGCTCTGCTGCACTTATGATTCCCAACCGCTACTAACCCTTACTGCAAGGAGTAGGCACAGCAGAGACTCGTTTGCCATTGAAAATTTTAATTCTCTTTGAAATTTGTCTTGGTGGGACCCTTTGTCTAGGCATTGAGTGTTCCAAAAATAAATAAATTACACATTTAAATAGTAAGGAAAAAGATATAAAGATAAATTAAAACAATTAAAAGATACAAAACAAAATTAAAGTAAAAGAATCCCAATCTTATTGTTTGGAAGTATCTATATAAGTTTATTGTATGAAAAAATCCTTTCTTTAATGTATTTTATATCCAATAAATGCAAAATTGTATTCCTAGTTATTTTACCAGTACTAAATTTAAATTTTAAAGATAAATGACACTTTGTAACATACTTTAACGCCACCAGCCACTTTAACGGCGAATAAATGAACTGCCAGAGCATATAGAATACATTTCTACCACATACTTTCAGGCTGGAAAATAATTGTATGCTACAAATAAAAATTCAAGCAAATATTTACCCTACTCATGGAAAAAGCCAAACATTATATTAAGTAATTAAATTAACAAAGCCAAAAAGAATATATATACATATATACAAAACAAACATGTGCTGTTTGGGTAATTGAAAGGCACAGCACTTGGCAACCATTCACCATTACTGATTACATCATCAACGTAATGCCAACTAACTTTTCGCTTAATTAATTAACCAACACAATGATATACTTTTCACTCAACTCCATGTGTTTGTTCTATATTTTTTTGTTTTGTACCCCCAAATCCCAACAGGGCGACTCCCCATTTGGCAAGCAGGAGGCCTATGTGAAGCTCGAACCGCTGGGCGAAGGCTCCTATGCGACAGTCTACAAAGGATTTAGCAAGTGAGTAAAAAACCGAACCATATACCATACATGTATGCATGCCACACCCATAAATATCCCAAAAAAATAAAGGGGTTGCCGTGTCACTGGGTTAAACAAAAAATTATGGCGCTCAGCTTGAGTCTTTGCTCTCTGATGGACCCCGATCAAAATGGATTTCCCTTTTTTAAGGAACAACAAGAAAAAAAAGTAAAAAATAAGCAGAAAAAATGTGTGTCGTCATTTCGCCTTGATTTATTCGCTAGTTTCCCCACTCGTCCTGCATCCTGCGAAGCTCCTTTTTGGCTGAAAATATTCTTTGTCCCCGTTGGCAGACTCATTACCAGTACCCAGGACCATGCAAATGTGGCTATCAATCACGAGCAGGAGGAAGAGCAGCAGTCCCGGGCAGGAATTGAGGCTATGTGGGTCACCCGGAGAGAGAGTGAGAGAAAAGGAGAGATTGCAGCAGGGGCTTCCCCTTTGCCAAGCTCCTTTCCTTCCCTTTTTCCTTTGTGTTTAGTTGGCCTAACTCCGCACTGAGGGAAAACTGTGCTCTAAACTTGAAGAAAAACTTTAAAAATAAAGTTTTAAAACACCTTTCTAACAGTTTTGGGACTGAAGAAAGCTTGAAAGATACAGAAAATGAAGTGTTTTCTTCCCCTAAAACTTCATTAATGAAAAGGGTTCAATTCTATAACAAATTAATTAGTAAATCTTACATTTATTCTGACCCTAAACTTAATTGTTAACCTCAGTGCTGGGTCACACACTTTTCAGTTAAACTTCTCCCACAATTGAGCTGACTTCCTTGGACTTTTCACTTCCATTTTCCTCATTTTTCCCCTGAAAACATGGCAGTACAAAATGCTGGCTCATTTGCGCCTCGTCTGGCCCTGATTTCAGTTGTTTAAGCCAAAATTGGGAGTTGGGGGAAATGGTAAATGGAGTTGGGAGTTCGGAGTTCGTTTCTGGGAGCCTGGGAGTTCGAAGAGAAGGTCCTGCCTTCATAATTTGACAAATGGGCCTGGAAAAAGAATTGAGGGTGAAATCCGGGTAAAAGCAGCTTCGTCACCTTTTTGACAGGACTCAAAGCCTGGTGGCTGTCCTTCGTTTCCGATGATAGATGCGCCCCGTGACTCCCCTTTTGCCGTCTGTCTGTCATAAGCACTTGCCTCACCTAACTACGATTTTCCAATGCTCCAACTCCTTGTTTTTCCAACGAGCAATTCTTCTTGTTGTATCTCCACCCAACTCGTTGTTTTTCCTCCTTCCCAGGAAACACTTCATCTTGGTTCTGCCTTTTGTTTTTGATTTATTTGACAATCATTTGCTTTGGTGTCGGTCCAAAATTCAGCCTGTAACAATGGGCATTACGTGAAAAACGAACAAAGTTGTTTCGGGTCCTCATCCCCTACATCTTCTAGTTTTCCCAGCATTAGCCTGCTTTTCCCAGCATTTCCCTGCTCCCTCCTTTCTCCTTTCTCCTAATTTGCTATGCACGACGGCGCTTACATGCGAAATGAGTTCCAATTAGCTTTTGTTTATATGAAATGCAATTAATTCGCTCTAATTTATCTGCCAAAATGGAAATGTGACCCCCGTTGTCGTCCTAGCCAGGTCTTTGTCCTTACTCTCTGGGTTTATTTTTTCTTTTTTGTGTGTGTGCCTTTTCAAATGGGAATTTAGGTCACTTTCCCTTCAAGATTTGTGCTGGCTCTCGTTCACTGTGATTTTCCGAGTCTTGCCTTTTCCCCGGAATAAATCCCGCTCTGTTTGTCAATTGTAAAAGATTTCATGAATGATTTCACTTCTATTTGACTTTCGTTTTCCCCCGTCCTGGTTTCCTTTGTGTTTGAATTCTTTCCTTTCTACTCCTGCGACTATTTTCCTACCTATGCAAACAAACAACAAGGACAAGGAATGAGAGTCCTTCGAGCAGAAAGTCAAGTTGCTTCAGATGCTGATTAGCATTTAGTAGGTCAGCTGTCGCCAAAAAAAGAAAAGGACAACCGGGGGAGGAACTTTGATTTGCAGAAAACTTTTCCTCAACTTGTGATGAAGCACGCAATTTTCGGTTTATGCTTAACTAAATCGTATTATTTTAACATTAACAAGACAAAGTTTTCAGCCTCATCCGACAAATCCTCTTTGAGAATCCCACTCATCCTCTCTCTGTCTTTGGCACTTGAAAATTATCTAGGAATTTTTACAGCTTTTCGCTGGTACATTTTTCATGGGAAAATCTTTCTAGCCCGGCAGCTGTTTCTCCAGCAAAAGACATAAGCTTTTTACGTGCGTGCGGGTTTATTAACCAAGGAATAAAATGTGTGTGTGTTTTAGAATACATTTTGATATGACATAAAAGGTTTAATTCAAAGTTATTTGGCAGGAAAATAGGAAAAGTCGGTGGATTTTTATGACTGTGATAAAAAGTTTAGGATATTTCGAGTATATATCTGTGTGAATTTACGATCCTGCTCGACAAATTGATACGCTTCAGTCATCATCATCATTAACCCTCGCCTGGCCAATTAGTGATGAATTTCGCCCCCCAAAAAGTGTCCTTTCTCACTTTGATATATTCGCGGAAAGTGACATCTTCATTCACGCCATAAAAACCAAGAAAAACTTGAATAAATTCACTTTGACTTTGGCATTTCGCTCTTAAAGTCAACTACTTTATGCTTACATTTCCACTTTTCTTTGGATTTTCGTTGGGTTTTTTCTATACATTTCTTTTTGGGAGAAGATTTCTGTGGGTTTGCCTTGCCAATTAGAATGTTGCCTTGGCAATGGCAAAGAAAGCCGCATAAATTGCCAGCGTCTGTGCGGCAGTGTCAAATAATTTAACCTAATTTGACACTTCAAATATCCTCCAAGACGGTGTCCTTGCTATCCTGCATTCAATGTATCCCCCTAAACAGTGCTGGCGGTGTGTTGGGAATAAAATTGAGAAGATTTATGGTCAAGTTTCTTTTTGAAGGCAATGGAAATTGAAACTATTTGTATATAGGTTGTGTAGGAGCTTAAAAACTGGTTCAAAAAACTAGCTAGTTATTGCAAATATATTAAAATGTAAATAGAAAATCCATTTGATAAAGATTTCTTTCAAGAAACCAAATATTTAGTATTCAAAATAGTTTTCCCCATTTTATAATTCATTCAATTAGCTTTTATTAAAGCCTTAAAAAGCATTTTATTTATGCTTTCAATCAGCAAATAATATAATCCGCATGAGCCTTGACTATATCTATATATAATATATATATTACAAGAGCCTTTTCCCCACCAATTTCCTCGCAAAAAATAAAATCCAAATCCGCATCACTGCCGTCATGCAGCATCCTCTCTGTATCTTTCTGCTATCCTTGGTGTGTGTCCTGTGGCCTGTCCCTTATCCTAATTTAAGTGTTTGCCGTACATTTCCCTGCGTGTTGGGTCGTTATGTCTGTTTAATATACAAAAGGCTCCTCTCTTCTCTCCTTCCCCATGATATCCTGGCGTTCATTTTGGGGCAATGTTTGTCCCTCCAGCTCTACCACAAATTGTGAGCCTAATTCTTTGTTGCCCCTGCTGCCGGTGGCAGCTGTGCAATTGTTGTGTTTTGCTCGGACATTCCTCGACTGTAGCTGTAGTATTTATTTTATTAATTTTTCCCTCTCTCTGTTATACAGATTAACCTACCAGCGGGTGGCATTGAAGGAGATCCGGCTGCAGGAGGAGGAGGGAGCTCCCTTTACCGCCATTCGCGAGGCCTCGCTGCTGAAAGAACTGAAACACAGCAACATTGTCACGCTGCATGATATTGTACATACGCGTGAGACGCTGACCTTTGTCTTTGAATATGTGGTGAGTAATTGAGTGATATATAGAAATATATATGATAAAGCTCTTTAGATCTCTATCATATGTATCTTCCCCATTTCCTAGCATTTACTAATATTCCTTTTAAATTTGATAGAATACGGATCTGTCGCAATATATGGAAAAGCATCCCGGCGGCCTGGACCATCGCAATGTGCGCCTGTTCCTCTTCCAGCTGCTGCGCGGACTCTCCTACTGCCACAAGCGGCGTGTCCTGCATCGCGATGTAAAACCGCAGAATTTGCTCATCAGCGACTGCGGTGAACTGAAGTTGGCCGACTTCGGTTTGGCCCGGGCCAAAAGCGTGCCCAGCCACACCTATTCGCATGAGGTGGTCACGTTATGGTACCGTCCACCAGGTGAGTTTCACACACAAAATGAGAAGCAGAGCCCCGAAAAAGGGGTTTCCATATTAATTTTCCTTCATAGAATGAGTTTGCAGACTCTAAAATATTTGTTTTATAGGAAACATATTCCTTAGTTTATGTAGAAAATCAATTTCCTCATTTTTCTCTAGGCTTTGTGCCCAATTGAGTGCATTTTCCCATGTGCAATTCGTTAGTTCCCGTTGATTTATGCCATTTAAGCTGAAAGGTTTCCCATGTAAGCCTTTTCCAGGCGAAAAAATCACACAAAAAACACAACCAAGCTAATCAAAATTTTTTGTAAAGCGCAAACAATTTGCAGTTTAAGGCTTACTCGAAGCCAAAGCCTGAACGAACCAATTTGAAAATCGTATTAAGTTATTTCGTTTGTTTTGTGCACTTGCCAAGCCAGGGGATGGCAATTAACTGGCGCCATACAGCCTGAAAATTGTTCATTTAGCAGCGTAGCTTCAAGTGGGATTAAATTAAAGCCCACTAAGCTCCTCAACCTCCTCCTCCTTCTTCTCTATTTTTTTAATCCCCTTTGACAATGGGTAAACAATTCATTTAGCCTGGCAAAGATTTTTCCATCAATTTGGCGAGCCAAAATGTGTAGAGAGTAGGGACTAGAGAATAAAGTTAATTTTTTCTAATATGCAATTCCCTTGGCATAAACACTTTGTGTCTGCGGAATACCTGAGCTGAACCGGGAGAGCTGACCCCTGGGCGCCATCAACGTCAGCTGGGAATATGCATAGTTCGGAAGCATGTTAAACAAATTTAATCTGCACTTCTTGCCAGCCAGGAAAAGCGGAAGCAAAAGCATGCAAAAAAGCTAAAAAGGACGACGGGAAAAGGCAACAGGATAAGGATAAAAATGAGAATGAGGATGAGGATGTGGTTGCCATGGGCACACCTGTCTCCTGTCGCCACCTGCTCTCAAAATGTGTGTGTGTTTGCTTTTATAGTCAAGTAGTTGCATGTCTGAGAGGGGGTTCTTTTCTCAGGAGTTGCCTTTATGGTTTTTTGGTTTAAATATATCATTAAATATATTTAAAATTTAATTAGTAAATTAAAAAAGTTGAATTGCGGGGAATGTATAAATTGAACAAGAAAGGAAACTAACGTCGGGATGCCGTAGTTTGTATTGCAAAGGAATTATAGTAGCGATAATAATTAAGCATAAAATATTCTCATTATAAATCAATATTTTTTGATACTTTTATATGCACATTTTGTCGACAAATCAAAGTTTAAAATTCTCATAACTAAGCCAAACATGTATTAATTTCAATTCGAAAAGCTGTTCTATGCTAGTTTTTACCCGATTACGAATCTGCAAACTCAGTTTTTGAATTTAAAAAATTCAATTTTTGGCCAAATGTTGACAATTTTAATGATGTAACCCCTTATCGTTTTTTGAAATTTTGGAAAAATATCAAACAATTTATTTTCCCACAAGACATGGCTAGATCGATTCAGCTGTTCATTCTGATCAAGAATATATATGGTTTATAGGGTCGGAAATGATTTCTTCATTGTGTTATAAGCTTCTGATTAATACTAATACTCTACAAAAAGGTATAAAAACAGGCATTTTTTTAAAATAATCAGTGTTTTCCAAATATCGTAATTCAGCCAAAAATGCATTAATTTCAATTCGGAAAGCGGTTCTGTGCTAGTTTTTAAATCGCTAACAAATCTGCGTACAGCGTTTGCTGATGCTGTTAAAAGATTCTGACTAAAAATTGAATAACCTGGAAAATGGTATAAAAACAGGCAATTTTATTAAATAATCAATGTTTTTCAAACATCATAATTAAGCCAAAATGCATTAATTTCAATTCGGAAAGCGGTTCTGTGCTAATTTTTATAGCGCTAACAAATCTGCATACTCAATTTTTGAATTTTTTGCCAAATTTTGACAATTTTAATGATGTAACCCCTTATCGTTTTTTGAAATTTTGGAAAAATATCAAACAATTTATTTTCCCACAAGACATGGCTAGATCGATTCAGCTGTTCATTCTGATCAAGAATATATATGGTTTATAGGGTCGGAAATGATTTCTTCATTGTGTTATAAGCTTCTGATTAATACTAATACTCTACAAAAAGGTATAAAAACAGGCATTTTTTAAAATAATCAGTGTTTTCCAAATATCGTAATTCAGCCAAAAATGCATAAATTTCAATTCGGAAAGCTGTTCTGTGCTAGTTTTTAAATCGCTAACAATTCTGCGTACAGCGTTTGCTGATGCTGTTAAAAGATTCTGACTAAAAATTGAATAACCTGCAAAATGGTATAAAAACAGGCAATTTTATTAAATAATCAATGTTTTTCAAACATCATAATTAAGCCAAAAATGCATTAATTTCAATTCGGAAAGCGGTTCTGTGCTAATTTTTATAGCGCTAACAAATCTGCACACTCAGTTTTTGAATTTAAAAAATTCAATTTTTGTCCAAATTTTAACAATTTTAATGATGTAACCCTTATCGTTTTTTGAAATTTTGGAAAAATATCCAACAATTTATTTTCCCACAAGACATGGCTAGATCGATTTAGCTGTTCATTCTGATCAAGAATATATATGATTTATAGGGTCGGAAATGATTTCTTCATTGTGTTATAAGGTTCTGAATAATACTAATACTCTACAAAAAGGTATAAAAACATGCATTTTTTAAAATAATCAGTGTTTTCCAAATATCGTAATTCAGCCAAAAATGCATAAATTTCAATTCGGAAAGCTGTTCTGTGCTAGTTTTTAAATCGCTAACAATTCTGCGTACAGCGTTTGCTGATGCTGTTAAAAGATTCTGACTAAAAATTTAATAACCTGCAAAATGGTATAAAAACAGGCAATTTTATTAAATAATCAATGCTTTTCAAACATCATAATTAAGCCAAAAATGCATTAATTTCAATTCGGAAAGCGGTTCTGTGCTAATTTTTATAGCGCTAACAAATCTGCATACTCAGTTTTTGAATTTAAAAAATTCAATTTTTGGCCAAATTTTGACAATTTTAATGATGTAACCCCTTATCGTTTTTTGAAATTTTGGAAAAATCTCCAACAATTTATTTTCCCTCAAGACATGGCTAGATCGATTCAGCTGTTCAATCTGATCAAGAATATATATGATTTATAGGGTCGGAAATGATTTCTTCATTGTGTTATAAGCTTCTGATTAATACTAATACTCTACAAAAAGGTATAAAAACAGGCAATTTTTTAAAACAATCAGTGTTTTCCAAATATCATAATTCAGCCAAAAATGCATAAATTTCAATTAGGAAAGCTGTTCTGTGCTAGTTTTTAAATCGCTAACAATTCTGCGTACAGCGTTTGCTGATGCTGTTAAAAGATTCTGACTAAAAATTAATAACCTGCAAAATGGTATAAAACAGGCAATTTTATTAAATAATCAATGTTTTTCAAACATCATAATTCAACCAAAATGCATTAATTTCAATTCGGAAAGCGGTTCTGTGCTAATTTTTATAGCGCTAACAAATCTGCATACTCAGTTTTTGAATTTAAAAAATTCAATTTTTGGCCAAATTTTGACAATTTTAATGATGTAACCCTTATCGTTTTTTGAATTTTGGAAAAATCTCCAACAATTTATTTTCCCTCAAGACATGGCTAGATCGATTCAGCTGTTCAATCTGATCAAGAATATATATGATTTATAGGGTCGGAAATGATTTCTTCATTGTGTTATAAGCTTCTGATTAATACTAATACTCTACAAAAAGGTATAAAACTGGCATTTTTTAAAATAATCAGTGTTTTCCAAATATCGTAATTCAGCCAAAATGCATAAATTTCAATTCGGAAAGTTGTTCTGTGCTAGATTTTAAATCGCTAACAATCTGCGTACAGCGTTTGCTGATGCTGTTAAAAGATTCTGACTAAAAATTGAATAACCTGCAAAATGGTATAAAAACAGGCAATTTTATTAAATAATCAATGTTTTCAAACATCATAATTAAGCCAAAAATGCATTAATTTCAATTCGGAAAGCGGTTCTGTGCTAATTTTTATAGCGCTAACAAATCTGCATACTCAGTTTTTGAATTTAAAAAATTCAATTTTTGGCCAAATTTTGACAATTTTAATGATGTAACCCCTTATCGTTTTTTGAAATTTTGGAAAAATATCCAACAATTTATTTTCCACAAGACATGGCTAGATCGATTCAGCTTTTCATTCTGATCAAGAATATATATGATTCATAGGGTCGGAAATGATTTCTTCATTGTGTTATAAGGTTCTGAATAATACTAATACTCTACAAAAAGGTATAAAAACAGGCATTTTTTTAAAATAATCAGTGTTTTCCAAATATCGTAATTCAGCCAAAAATGCATAAATTTCAATTCGGAAAGCTGTTCTGTGCTAGTTTTTAAATCGCTAACAATTCTGCGTACAGCGTTTGCTGATGCTGTTAAAAGATTCTGACTAAAAATTGAATAACCTGCAAAATGGTATAAAAACAGGCAATTTTATTAAATAATCAATGTTTTTCAAACATCATAATTAAGCCAAAATGCATTAATTTCAATTCGGAAAGCGGTTCTGTGCTAATTTTTATAGCGCTAACAAATCTGCATACTCAGTTTTTGAATTTAAAAATTCAATTTTTGGCCAAATTTTGACAATTTTAATGATGTAACCCCTTATCGTTTTTTGAAATTTTGGAAAAATCTCCAACAATTTATTTTCCCTCAAGACATGGCTAGATCGATTCAGCTGTTCATCTGATCAAGAATATATATGATTTATAGGGTCGGAAATGATTTCTTCATTGTGTTATAAGCTTCTGATTAATACTAATACTCTACAAAAAGGTATAAAACTGGCATTTTTTTAAAATAATCAGTGTTTTCCAAATATCGTAATTCAGCCAAAAATGCATAAATTTCAATTCGGAAAGTTGTTCTGTGCTAGTTTTTAAATCGCTAACAAATCTGCGTACAGCGT